CCCCCCTGCCCTGGGCAGCCCATTCCAACGCCCAACAGCCCCTTCTGCACAGAAATCCTTCCTCAGAGCCAGCCTGACCCTGCCCTGGGCAGCTTGAGGCCATTCCCTCGGGGCCTGGCGCTGGCTCCTTGGCTCCAGAGACTCATCCCCCCTCTCTGCCCCCTCCTGGCAGGGAGTTGCAGAGGGCCAGGAGGTCTCCCCTCAGCCTCCTCTTCTCCAGACTGAACCCCCCCAGTTCCCCCAGCCGCTCCCCAGCAGACCTGTGCTCCAGACCCTGCCCCAGCTCCGTTGCCCTTCTCTGCCCACGCTCGAGTCATTCAATGGCCTTTTACATAACTCTAACCTTCACCATCATGCCCATGTTTCAGAAAACAGATCAACAAAACCACAGAGCAAACAAACAATTCATTTATTTACCTGTTACTTAAGGCTGCTCCAAAGGTTTCGGTTTGCACCGCGGTATCAGACTGGCGAGATCAGCTGCTGCTTTACAGCCCAAGGACACTCGGTACAGTCTGTACTGCCCAGCCCATCCACCCGCACTGCTAGGGCTGAACAGCTCCTACACACCTCATTTGCCTGCTGGAATGTCTGTGCCTCTTCCTGCCAGGGGATTTGACCTTTAACCCCCAAGAAAGACCCGTTTGATGACAACTCAGAGCTCAGTACTGGGGCCTGTGAAATGACCAGCCCAAGAGCCGGAGAGGGGTCGGGCCGGGCCCCGCTCGCAGGAGAGGCAGGATCAAAGGGTGAGGAGCCTGGCCAAACTGCTGGAGCCCCGGAATTAAAGCGCCCACATTCCTGCACGATAAACGGTGCTGCTTCTGCAGGCTGCCAGGAGAGCCTGTGCTTTGCCAAGGACTCCTGAAGTGGCAGCAGTAGGGGGAAGACGGAGAGTTTGACGTTTAAACTCATGCGAGGACACACCTGACACTCCCTCATACCTCATTACAGTGGCGTTCTGCAGCTGCGGGCACTAGCGCTCTACCAAGTAGAAAACACCGGGGGGAAAAAAAGGAGGGAGGCGCAGGGCAAGCTGCGTTCCTGCACCCCCCTGGCATTTCTCAGGTGTGACAGCCCCAGAGAGGGGCTGGCACAACTTCGGCATCAGAGCGGGCCCTGAAAAGAAACTAAATGGCTGGAGAACTTCACCTGGCCCACGCTGGTTAAAACCAGCATCTAGCAAGTAGCACTATTTGTACATTTAATTTTAAGGCTAGTCCTTGAACCCAGGCTCTCCTGGAGCCAGCACTGGTTTACATCACTGCTCCCTGCCCTGTGACCAAGTGTGCCCTGTGGGGTTAACACTCCCTAGGCCAGACTTTTTTTTTTTTTTTTTTTTTTTTTAGATTTCCACAGCCCGGTATTTTCTACATCCTTGTGTTAGAGGAAAATATGCATTTACCATGGACCTGTTCTCCCCGTATCAAAAAGCAAAGTAATTATTAAATTATTAAAAAAATATCCCCACGTTCAGCCCCTGGGGATATTAAACTGAGTCAAACTTAGCCCTAGTGCAGCTGGTGCATTACTTAACCAGTGTGCCAGACCAAAGGGGAAAAGCTGGGCTTAATGGAAACGGTCAGCAGCACCTGATACTGGCCACTGCCTGGCTCCAGCTGTCTTTATTTCACTTTGCAGCACATTTCAGTTTACATGGTTTCCCTGCTTTCAACACCGGCTCTGACAGCGAGCAGAGCTGTGGCACAGCGTACCACCCCCAGGGGTTCAAACAATTCCAATTACATAGTTGTGTTGAATTGGTGCACAATTCATAATATCATAGGAAGAAAAATCAAGTTACTGAAAACCTACTGACAGTAACCAGTAACCAGGCCAGATTCGCCCTGGGTGTAAATGGAGTCCCCTGGGAGCCATTTGGAGCTCGTCCCCTGGAGCAGCAGCTGTGGTCGAGGACTCTCTCCTTGGGTCAGGACACTGCCCAAGGAAACTCCTCGAGGTGCCTTGGTTTGGGACACGGCCCTGAGCAGGTCCCCGAGGTTGAGAGCCCTCACTTGTCAGGTGAGTGATAAAGCGTTTTGGGTTGCCTTATACGAGCGGGGCTTTGTTCTGTGTTCTGTGCTGCTGTTAAACCCTAGGAAGCTGTTCTGTTCTCCTCTCACAGACATTAGAACCTGCAATTTACAGAGAGCTAGTTAACTGTGGTTTGTTTTTTTTTTTTATTTTTGGTGCTTGGTTGTTTATTTGAGAGCATCCATAACACTTTACTGAAACATTTTTGTCACATTTTTAACCCTTTGCCTTTATCACTACATAACATTACATGAATTTACTGTTACCAGCAAGTACAGAACATTGCTAAATCACATTTATAAACCTAAACCCCATTCCCTTTTCTTCAGTTTTGCAGATCAGAGCATGTGACAGAGCAAAACATCCCAAAACATTCCCTGCACCTCAGAGCTATGCATATGACACGTCATGGTACAATGCCACAGTGCAGCAGTGGGTCTTTCAGAGATTAAATAGCAGCAAGCCCTCGTTACAATGCCTAATAGATCAAAAAGCCATGATTTCAGAGAGCTTATAATATGTCGGGCTTTATGAAAGACCAGTTAAGATTCTACTCTAATAACTCACATCAAGGAAAAAATAAAAATAAACCCAACATTCATTTAAAAAGCCTCAAAAAGCAGAATTCATACAAAATTAAAAGTATTCAAACATTTTTACAGTAGTTTACTATCTTTACTAAATGGCACCAGATTTCAAGTGGTCATGTGAAAGAAAAATCAGTAACATTTCCAACTTTGCCTGAAAGTTATTCTAGAAGCAGAATTTCCATCTTCATATTTGCTGCTAGAAGGAAGAAGTAAATGTGAACTGAGTATCGACAACCCTTTAATCTATACATCTGATTTGGTTTGATTCAGTAAGTAGAAAAGACTTTCCATACTCGAGTTATCTACAGATTATGTCTATATATATAAAAAATGTGTGGATATATACATTTAATACATACAGACACCCTCACACATATATACACACACACGGGATGGATCGTGTCCCCTCCGCAGCAGTGACCGCCGAGCCCAGGCCACACCAGCACCTGCTGTAAGGCTGCACAGCGGAGCCGTTACGGGAGGAGACACAGGCAGTTGCTCTTGGTCTGGGCTATAATTGTTCCACTTGGTGATCGATTGTTACACTTCTAGTTGCGTGTGACCAAATTTCAATAACTTAGAATTTGCTCTATAAAAACAATTCCAGAAACAGAACTCCCTTACCAGAACTCCCTTACTCAAAGAACACCCCTGCTTCCCAACCCCGACATTATTTTTCCTAACCGATTACAGAAGTCTAACTAAGTCACATCAGAAAATGCGAACACTCTTTTATCTTAATCTAAACTAACATGCATCAAAACGTTCTGCAGTGTGGCATCCTTCGATTTTCTCATCTTCTCAATTGCCCTGTGGAGATCCTGCTGCTGCACAGGACGAATTTCATCTTCATCGTGGCTTTAAAAGGAAAAAAGAAAAAAAAAAACAAAACTAAGACAATGATTCAGGTGCTGTGTAACAGCTATTCAAACAATGAGAAGTAATCACTGAAAACAGCAGCTCTGGCATAGCTCCAGCACTACACTGGAACATGCTCCTGTATCACCTGTAGGTACAGGAGATAATCAGAGGAACATCACAGCAAGCGGGGTTACGCATGTGCTGGAGTGTTACCAGCATTTAAGCCCGGTAACAGCACAGTCACATCACGTGTTGGTTCATGCCACCTAAGGCTTGACCCCTTGGAACAAACAGTCTTGTTCTCATAGTCAGAATGAATTTAGGTAACTTATTTGTTGGGTTTTTTGTTGTATAGTGGCAATTTGTCAAGAAAGAGAGAACCTCCTGCTCTCTGTGAATCATAGCAAGGTTTTCTAAACCTCTACAAATTTGCAATTCAAATCAGAAAATATAAACTGATAATTGGACAGTGTGTAGCACCAGAAGCATTCACAAAGGTTCTTCAGCTATCGTAACAGACAGAATAAAGACACATACGTCTCTTCTTCACAGGAAGAATTAACATATTCCCTGACACAGAGGAGTGCTGCATCCCGGCACATTTCCTTCAGGTCACTGCCCGAGAAGCCGTCGGTCTCTTTAGCAACTTCGAGGAGATCTACATGCCTGTCCACCTGCCAAAAAACAAAAGGTCCGAGAATGAAATGTCTGAGGTCATTTACTTTGTTCACCAAAGACAAGAAACAGTCACGTCCAAGTATTTTTACCCGCCCATTGATCTTTTTCAGCCTTGAAGTATTTTAGAGATAAAATTATTTTATTAACTTACACTTTGAACCCTCTGAGTAGTTCATGTCATTAAATGAAACTGATGCTTCATCTCATAAAACTCTGTAGCTGATAAAAAAACCCAAACAGGCAACCAAAAGTGAACCATCATACTGGTATATTCTGTTACTGACAAAGCTCCTGTGTGGTTTTGGAAGCCCACTGGGTGGCAAAAACTGGATCACAGAAAAAATGACCCATTTTCCCAAATGCCCACACAAATTTCCTGCAAGAGCACTGATATTTTTTGGTTAAGGGCTCAATCAGACCCTACGTGCATCTTTTCATCTCTAGACAATGAAGACTACCCAATGGGCCTCCTTTCACAGCCACAGCCCTTTTATAAACATTATTTGAAAGAGTGCATTTTGTTTTCATAAACACGTCTTTTTACCAGCAACATGGCAAGGCTGGGAAAAGTTCCTGTCACATTTACATTGTTGTTGCTACCTTTCAGTGCAGAATGGGAACTTCAGAAGTAGTTGTTCACTATCCCAGCAACTCGAGTTGTCTGCTGAGTTACCAAACAAC